CTGGAGTGCTTAGGTGTGAGAGTCGGAGAGCAGTGGTCCCTGTTACACACCTACTTGGGCAGGTCATGTCGCATCTCTGAGCCTCAGTTTCCCCAGTCTCAAAGGGGATTGAGAAGCCCAGGTGATCAAAGGATCCTCTCTCTGTCACTGTCCTTGCTGCTGTCACTCTGGATACAAGGTGTATGGCTCCCATCTACAGGCAAATACACTCAGTCCAGGCCTCACATGCTGGTGATTTGCCTCTGACTAAGTAGCTTGGTGGGCTGCCCACCTCTCTGATCCTTAGTTCACAATTGTTTGGAAGATAAAATAAAACCCAGGGTCTGACCAGCATCCAGTCTCAGTTACTAGTTAGAAGGAAAGGCTATGAAGGACGGGGTCTAGGCAGGGCTATCCTGGGCTAGAGTGAGTGGGTAGGCAGACCATGACCAACACCAAAAAGCTCAGATGAAGCCCTCTAGGGAAGTCCAGATTCTTCCATTGGCTGAGGGTTGGTCTCAGAGCTGTGCCCCTCCTGACACAGTCAGTGTGACAGCCCTGATTGTTTAGTCACCATCATCTGTAGTCACTTTAACTGCCTTTTGGGTAGTGGGTTCCAGCTAGAGGGCCTGCAGCCCACACTGCTTCAGGGACCCCACCTATTCAACCCTTGCCACTTAGAAAGCATGCGGCTCAGCCATGAATGCCCAAGGGAGCAGATTCCCCACTGCCCATCCTAGAAAGAGAAGTCCCATTTCCCCTCCAGGTGCTCTCTTACCCAGATGGGGGGTGTGTGTGGGGGGGAGGACACACTCCCATCCCTTACAGAACTCCTTTTCTCATTAGGGTTCTGGGGGCCAGGCAAAAGCAGCCATGAAATACTGGGCTATAACTGGCCACTTCCAGAACCCAGGTACCCTGCAGAGTCCAGTCTTCCCTTTGTCCGATTCCAAGTTGCCCATCTCCCTGTCTGACTGCGTGACAGTAAATCATTTTAAAGACTTGGCATTTCCGAGAGTAGCTGGAAAATACCAGGCCGGAGTTCAGAGCGTGTGAAGCATCTTTCATTTAGCAAGGCCTGAGCAGCTGCTAAAGGGGGCGGATGGGCTGGGAAATGTCACGGGGAGGAGCTGCCCGTGGCTCCCTGCCCTGCCCCTGCCCACCCGCCCACAGACAGGCCGCACCTGCTGGCATTTAATTCCTCTGGCACTGACAGGGAGGAAGGCCTCCTCTGTAGGAGCAAGGCAGCTGAAGACACCTGCTGAGATTTCCCTGGGGGCCAGCAGATAGCCAGAGGGTGTGGGCTGCAACAGAGAGATGGAAGCCAGAGGGAAGGGGGAGCCAGCCTGAGGGAATCTGGGCCTCCCTGTAAAGTCATAAACAGAGCTGTTCACCTTCTCTGATGTGGCTTTTAATCTCTGTCCCCTTGGCTCCCAGCTTCCCAGGCCTCCGTGTGTGTGTGTGTGTGTGTGTGTGTGTGTGTGTGTGTGTGTGTGTGTTTATTCATATGGAGACCAAAGGTAGATGTCAGGTATCTTCCATTATAACTCTCTGCCTCGGTTTTTCTGAGCCCGGCTCTCTCACTGAACCTGCTGTTCACGGATTAGGTGTGCTAGCTGACCAGTGAGCCCTGGTGATCCACTTGTCTTCACCCCACCCACACCCAGTGCTAGGGTTACTGACATCTGCAACCACACCTGACATTTCATGTGAGCGCTAGGGATCCTACTCAATACCTCAGGCTTCTGTGTCAGGCATTTTACTAATTGAACTATCTCTTCAATGCCTCAGTCTGTCTTTGAACCTCAGTATTCACATCTGGGAAATGGAGACAATGATGAGCTCACTTTGCAGGGTCACAGTGGAAGTTCAGTGGGATCCCTAAGGGTGGGATTTGTAACTCTCTGCTATAAGTTTCCTCTGTGAGCTTGGCCTTGTCCAAAGTTCTGCTCGTCTCCCATTGAGGACCAGCTCTATTCCCAGGAGTCCCTGGGGCTCCAGAATCCACAAAAGAACATGCTAACCCATAATAGTTGTCATGAGCATATACACAAGCATGGTACTGGGCACTTCACCGCCACTTTAAGAACCTGCACACCAGTGGGCTATTATATAGATGGAGCCCCTTTTGTTCTGTAGCCTTCTGGGGCTCCAGGATGTTGCCTCTGAGTTAGGACAACTTTTGTACATCCACTTTTTTTTTCAGAGGAGGGCTTGACACAGAACCCCAGTAAGTAACTGAGACTGCCTGGAATTCACAATCCTCCTGCCCCTAACCCAGCTATCATCTACCATTATTTGTAAAAGTTTACAGGGACTCCGAACTGCCCCAGATCTGGGAGACACTCCAAGTCTTTAGGTGGGATTCAAAGATAAGCTTCTGGGACCCAGGAACTTGAGAAGTGGTGACCATGTGGTGGGGGCTGATGCTCATTCCAGGAAGAGGCCAGCAGCCTGGCTCAGACTATAGGGTGAGCAGGAACCTGTTATATCCAAACCAGTGCTCAGCCAGATTTCCAGAATTCATACCTCCTGCTGTCCACACCTCTCCTCTGGATACCTCATTCCTCCCCCTCCACCCACTAGCCTGGCTGGGGACCCACCACCATCACACACTGGCTGTTTCCCTGTTTCCTTGGACCCCAGGATGGATGGTGGGTCTTCTCCCAGATTCAGAAATCTAACTGTAACATGCCCACCAGCATCAACCCCAAGGAGAAAAAAGAGAGAAGGGGTCCAAACCAAGTGGTGAGGGGTGGGACAAGGGGTCTAGCTTGGCAAGGTGTGGGGCTCCCAATACCCTCTCCCTCCTGGCCTGTTTCCCCATCTGAAATGTGGAAATCATGATCCTCACCAGGCCAGCTCTCAAGGCTACTGGGGAAGTCAAGTGACACCAACAGTGGGGTCATGTCTTGTGGCATCACCTCTCTGGCTAGGGCCATGACTCCACCAATAAAGAGCCTGTTACTTAAGCATGAGAATCAAAGTTAGAGTTCCTGCACCCATATATAAATCTGGGCACAGTGTAGATCTATAATGCCAGTACTGGGAAGGCAGGCAAATGGGTACACAGAAATTACTGGCCTGCCATCCTGGCTGAGTCAGTGAGAGACACAGTCTCACAATACAAGATGGAAGGGCTGGAGAGATGGCTCTGCAGGTAAAACCTCTTTCTGTGCAATCTTAAGAACCCGGGTTCAAATCCAGCACTCACTTAAAAGCTAGGCATGGATGCACCTGCCTGTAGCCCAGGCACTAAGGAACAGAAACAGAAACTGGATCCCAGGAACTTGTTGATCGGCTACCCTAGACAAGAGGGCAAGCCTCAGGCTTAGTGAGAAACCCTATCTAAAGAGAATAAGGTGGAGCGCAACAGATGAAGACAACTCTCATCTCTACGTGGCCATGGGTACCTACACATGTATATGCAACACACTTGTTTATATATTATTGCTATTTTATTTTAAATAAGATGGAGAGTGACTGAGGAGAACATTCGGCATTGACTTCACGTATCTACATACACATGCATACATTCCTACAGGCACATATACATGTAACAAACACACAAAAAAGGTACACCACACACCCTTGTGTATACCAAGAATAGTTACTCTGAACCCCCAGGAAAGAGACAGTCTATAACAATATCCAACACTGGCAAATCTGAAGGCAGCAGAACTCTCCATAGACAGGTAGGAATGGCTGTGGGCTTATCCACTATTCAACATCACAGGCCATGCCAGACTGCCCCCCCCCCCGGCCTAGAAGATAGACTGTATTAAGTTATACCTGCCTCTGTCTGTGTTAATGACAACAGAATGACAGAAGCTGCCATTTATCCAGGGCCTGTGTTCGATCAGGCTCTTCTCTCTATTTTCCCTAGCTTATTTCACTCTCGACTTTTGGAAAGATGAAAACCACGACTAGTTCCATTTTAGCCGAGGAAACTGAAGCAAAAGTACTCTAGGTCACAGAGCTAGTGGAGTTGAGCCTGGAACTTGGACCCCAGAGTTCTTAATTGTGGCATGAAGCTGCAGCAGCAGATGGAGGGACTTTGTCCAGCTCCCTCCCTCTCTGGGGGTAATGCTCCCAGGCTATGGCTTTGTAAACAGAGCCTCCTGGGCCTGTGGGCATTGCTATCTCTTGGTGGGTCTGAAGCTCCAGCTCTGCTCATCTTCCTCCCTGGCCCTCTCCAGGGATCTGACACGGGCTCCCCCTTCCCAGGGCTTCGAGGCGGGGGCTCGTTTGAGCGCATCCGAGATCGATGTTGTACACGAGAAGGTGCAGATGTAGATCTGGCTAAAGAGCGTAATAGAATTTATGGAAATCGCTGGCTCGCACCACAGCCCGAGCAATGATGGAGGTGATTATTAATTAATCATGGTCTTGGGGGAACAGTATCAGTGCAAGGAGTAATTAAAATGAAGCATTGTACAGTTGTACCGAATGATGATTTATGAGCCCGAGGAATTGCCGCTCTGCCCTCTCCCCTCCGTAGGCTCAATGGGAAGGATTAACTGGACGGATTGTTTTCAACAAAACCAGTGGCTTTTTTTTTTTTTTTTTTTTTTTTTTTTTTAAAGAGGATGGCCTGGAGAAGGTGCGTAGGCCCTGGAGAAGGCTCAGCAGAGGACCAGGGATGTTGGAAATGCCTTCTACAACTTCCAGGCAGAGGGGCAAGAGCCACTGCAAGCATCCCCTTGAGATTAAACCCTCACGGCATGGCCTCTAGGTTAGAGGAGCTGTGGGCTAAAGGAGATCCTAGGGTCCTGTTACACTTGAGGGTGCCAAGTTCAGTGACCAAGTTCGAACAGAAAACTATGCCATCACTCTGTGAGCTAGGCTTGTCAGGGAAACACACAAGACTGTGAGGCAAACTGCAGGGCTGGGTCAGCAATAAGGACATATATGTTCTTAAGTTAAACTTCGTAGCCTCCACAGAGTGACTGACTTGGAATAGTAAGCTCACAATCGTTGGAAGCATTTAAGCAAATATGGAGAGGTTGCTTGTCTGGGAGACTGAGAAAATCCTTACCTCAAAGAGATGTTGAAATCTTTGGGGTCTGGGCTCCCCCCAATTGCAGCTTCTCACACCACAGATTCCAGCTTTTGGTCCAAGAAAGCAATCCTATCTGGACCTGGGGTCCTTCCATCTGGCCAACATGGAAATATTCTAATGAGGCTTTCTCCAGTCCCCAAGAACCTTTGGTGTGTGCTGTTAAAGTCAGGCTGCTGTGCCAAGAAGAGGCTTTAACCTGGGGACCCAGTTTTTAGCATCTGGAGGAGCCAGCAACTCAGCCACACCCATCCCACTGCAGGTGGTCCCTGAGAGCCACCTGAGTTCCCTTCCTACCCTGAGATACGGCATTTATAAGATATGGAGAGCAGTTCCCAGGAGGCTAGCAGGGCCTTCGGAGTAGACTCCCACACGCCTTTCCTCTTTGCGTGGTTCAGCCTCTACCGAGGGCTGCTTCCCGCCTCACACTCTCATCCGTTCTGAATGTACTCTCAGATAGAGCTTCACCAAACCCAGCTCTGCCCTGCCAATGGCTCCCCGATTCCAAGTCAGTAGGCTGCAGCACTTCATTGGGGCCTTTTAGACTCTGAGGATTTCCTTGGCTGCCTTCCCCACCCAGCCCAGTGTCCTACTCCCTGAAATGCCCCAAGGTTGATTTAGGTTCCCACCCTCCAAAATCTCTGAGTGTGACCCCATCCCGGTGCCCTGGCTGTAAAAGTGACATCTGTCCTACCAGGCGTGGACCTGGTTCTGCTTGGCCTCAAGTGCTAGCCTCTGTATACCCATGGCCATGGCTCTCTGATTCTCTCCTGGGTCCTCCCATTCACTGTATAGAGAGGGGTGGCCAGGAACCCTCACAATTCCTCAACAACTAGTTCATGCCATGTGTGGCATTAATTCCCAAGGATGGGGACTGAGGCCTCCATTCCTAAGACCACCCGAGACCCACTTCCCGTCCCAGGCACAGTCCAGGAGCTCCCATCAGTCTTTGTTTAAGCTCCCTGGTGCTGGGGAACAGCCTTCCTCCTGGGCAGTGGCGCAGCTGACATGGTGCTCACAGGTAGCAGTCCTAACTTTGCTCTCTCAGCCACTCATCTCTAGGGACAGCGTCAGATTCTAGGGCTAGTAGATAGATGGCACACATGCTGTCACTTTCCGCTCCTGTGCCCGTGGCAGGCATCAGTAATTGATCACTGGAGCACTCTTGCATCTGAGCCCACCCTGCTGCATCTATCTCCCAACAGCCCTCCAGGCAGCTGGTACAAATTGACCGTAGCTAATACTCAAGGAAAACTCTATTATCCCTGGATGGAGGTTGGCCTGCAGGATGCCCACCAGAGGCTCCCAGTCATAGCTGCCTGGGTCTGTAAGCAGACAGCCTCTTCACTCCCATTCTTTCATTCCCACCATGCCTGGCATCTATCAGGGCTTAGTAGAAAGCTTGCTGGCCTGAAGCTCCCTGCTGCTCACCCGCCTCTGGACAGATGTTTGCTGAGTGCCTCCTGTACCTAGCCCTCTTGCTCAGCATCCCCACATTGGACTTGGCCCACTGTCGAGAAGAGCCTCTCCACTCCCATCTGCCCATCTCCACTCTGTGTGGCCCCAGTGGTCCACATAGGCAGAGACCATGCTGTGCCCCCATCACAGCCATAGCCTCTCATTGCCTCATTCTGTTTGCTAAGCTGGGTCAGAGCTGATCCAGCTAGCTCCAGCCGGTGGCTTTGGGAGGATTAAGGCAGAATTACCCAAGCATAATTACGTATCTTCCTGCTATCTGTTGTGCACAGCTCTCTGAGTGGGATGTTTGCTCTTGGCCTCTGTTTAATTGATTAGGTTTTCTGAGTACCCCCAACTGGGCCAAGGACAGAGTGGGTGTGCTGATGTCTTCCCTGAGAGAGGAGCCAAGATGAGGCCCAACTGGGAAGTTTGCTCAGAATGCACCTGCAAGAGGCCCAGGGCTTTAGAGTGACTTATAAAAAATTTACTGCATTTATTTATTCATTGTATGTGCATGTATGGAATCACGCCACTGTGCACCTGTGAGGACCAGAGGGCAACTTTCAGGACTCAGTTCTCTGCTTCTACGATGTAGGACCTAGGGATCAAACTCAGGTCATCAGTCTTGGCAGCACGTGCCTGTACCTGCTGGGCCATCTCGTCACCCTGGGGTGACTTTTAAACCCTGCCTCTCCTTCCTTGACTTTAGCCTCTGATTTGATATTGGTAAGGATGCTGGGAGGAATTTCCCATGATGACCAGAGTATATGCCCATTTTAGAGAGAAAACCACAAAGCAAACTGCCTTCTACCTTAGTGCAGTTCACAGGGCTTACATTGTCACCCAAAACAGCTTCCAAGGCTAGCCTGCTGCCTGTTCACCCATGGTTCCTCCTTCCCTTCATCCACACATGTGGAATACCTCTCCTTCTTCCCAATGGGAGCATCTCCTACATTCCAGAGTGAGCTGGGCTTTTCAGGTGTCTGGCCTGGAAGAGACCCATTGGGTAAGCAGCTGTGTGCCCTGTGTCTTGTCAGGAGGTGGCCGTGGTCTAGCCCAGGACCCCTGGCCCTTCTATCCCTACTGGGTATCTACTGCGGGGTCTCCCCAGATCCCTGAAGCTCCTCTGTATTTCTCCTTTAGCTGAGACTTTGTCTGCAAGAGGAAAAAGAGAAATTCACACCTTGAAGTCTCCTTAGAGGAGGGAGGGAAGCAGGGTTGTCATCAGAAATGTTAACTCGAAACACACAGTTACAGTGACAACAGAAATGGCTGTGATGGCTGGAAGCAGATGGCCTTGTTGATGTGGAGAAAGGAAGGACTCAGCACCTTTTTTTTGTCTGTCTTTCCCTCCAGGTTGGGGTGTGGAGTCCAGCTGACGGTCTCAACATCACTGAGGTTGCCAAAGGCCGAGGTCCTAATGTCACAGACTCTCTGACCAACAGGTCTCTCATTGTCACTACTGTGCTGGTAAGAGCCTCAGGCCCTGCTGGAAGGGTTGTCTGACCTAGAAGTGGGCTGACCATCTGTCCTATGAGACCCCTCTACCCACCACCTGTCACATCTTGGGTACCCCTTAGGAGGTTCCTAGTAGACAGTAGCAAAGTGTATCACAAGAAAGTAGAAAGGTTCAGAAAGCTCTTAGAGGGAGGTTGTAACCCAGGAACTCTTCCCATCACCCAAAGAAACCTGTGTTTACCATATCACCTACCTGCACATCGGAGTCCCTGTTTTCTCAGTAGGTCCACAAAAGAGTGACTGCTCATCACAGCTAAGGGGCTGCTCTCCCACCTCATGTTCCAGGGCTAAGACCCCTCCCTTGAGCCCCTGCAGCTATATCAGGTGCTATGGCCACATCAGAGAGCCCTGGGAGCCTGTATACATGCCACACTGCACAGGGTTTATAGGTCCCGAGAGCTGGAGGGTGTGACCTCTCCCCTTGAATAGCCACATCCCATCCTCTTTTTGTGATGAGCCAGTGTGATCATCTTTCCGTGATGCTTAGATATGGGTAGCCCCTCCTGCCTCCCCAGCTGAGGCAGTTTAGCCAGGCCCCTTCTCCATGACTTCCATTCCCCTCCTGCCCAGGAAGTGGCTCGTGGACTCTCGCAGGCTCCCTGCACCTTGCGGCTTGCACCGCTGCCCTCCCCTTACTGACCAATGCTGTAGCCATTCTTCATGTGCCTCCCGGGAGGCTGCAAGGACAAACAGAAGCTCAGAGCAGACCCCCACTGTATCACAGCACTGTTCTTAGGGACAATTCCCCACTTCCCCCATGGCCACCCTGGTAGAAAGGAACCTCACCACAGCTGAACAGAAGCTGACCCCTTTGAGGACAATTCTGGCCAAGTCAACCCTTTAGAATATAGTAACTAAATCTGTAAGACCCATACCTGGATACCTGGGCTTGTTCCTCTCCATGAAAGCAATGTGGGCCCACTAGGATTAAGGAAGCCTTCCACAGGCAAGGCCTGGACTTAAGTACCGGAAGCTTTCCATGGTGCTCGGATGGAGGTGGCTTCCTCTATGTCCCCCACTGAGGCAGTTCAGTGAGGCCAAACTAGACCACCATCCCCTTTAGTGTCATGGTGCCTACCAGGCATAGATTCAGTAGCTGGGTAGTGGGCACCATGAAAGAGTTAAGCAAGCAATTATAAAATACCCCCTATTCTTCCAGGCATCTAGAAAGGACACTGAAGTTAATAGATGTGTTGAGGAGAATTTCAGCCAATGGGTCTCATCTCCAGCCCCCAGAGTCATGGTCATTGAGAAGTCTCATTAAAGCCCATAAAGGTTGAATAGGTATTGTGGACAGGCTGCTGATAGAGCCAGAGGAGGAGAACCAGGGAGGGGTCATCCTGCCTTTGCAGGGAGCTAGAACTCCAGGAGTCTTCCAAATAATCATATGGCCTTCTTTTTATTAAGGAGACAAATCCTAAAGCTGTAAGTCAGAAAGAGCTCAACAGGAGCAGGGGAAAAACTAATGTAAAAGATAAATGATAAAAATAAACAAAAAGCACCCGGGACTTAAGGGAGACTGATGAGCAATTAAGGGAGTATGGGTGTGGATAAAAATAGGGACTAGGGAAGATAAAGGGCAGCGAGAGCAGAGCTAAATAGAAAGGTTGGGGGATAATGGAGGGGAGGAGAGAGAGAAAAAAGGAAGATATTAAGAAGGACGAAAAATTAAATAATTTACAGTGCTGGCTAGACAAGGTAAAAAAATGTTCAGGCAAAAAAATGTCAAAAAGCAAAGGGATGAAAGTGTGACAACGCTCAATATAAAAGGGTAAAAATAAAATAAAAAGGTGGTAAAAGATTAAAAGCAGAATTGCATGAAATGTGAGATATAAATAAAACACTTTTTGCAAGGCAAGATTAAAACGAGGTGAGAGAAATGTGATTTGAGAGATGAGGAGGAGAGATGATTACAGGAGCTGAGGGGAGGCAGCCGGGAAACAAGACTCCAAACTCGAGCTGAGGACTCCCCAACAGGATGCAAAACACAGCCACCTTGAAAGACACTGGGACGCATCTCACTGAAATGACAGCTGCCCTGTTTCAAGAGTGTGGAACTGGCTGCAGCTTGGTGGTACATGCACTGAGGAAGCAGGTGGCAGGTGGCTTTCTGTGAGTTCAAGGCTACCCTGGTCTACACAGTGAGCTCCAGGATACCCCCTCCCCTAAAAAAAAAGAGTATTACTGTTCTGCAGAGGCACAAGGTCTTCTCTTCTTCTTCTTCTTCTTCTTCTTCTTCTTCTTCTTCTTCTTCTTCTTCTTCTTCTTCTTCTTCTTCTTCTTCT